GTGTAAACTACAGAGTCCTGACCCAACGAAGAAGCTCGTCTGTGCTGGCTCATTCTTTTGAATAGTGGCTGTTTTGTTTTCCCGATGTACGACTGATCACAGTCCTCCTGACACAGTTTTTGCCGGGGAACTGGATCTTTGGGGTGAACTAATCTTTGTCGTAATGTGTTTTGGGGTTTGAAAGCCACTGGGACATCATGTTTAGAAAATAAACGTCTCAGTTTCTCCGAAACTCCTGCCACATATGGAATAACGACTGGTTTGGGTCTGGGTTTAGGGTCTTCATTTTCAGCTGGTTGTTGGCTGGAATCCTGTTTGGGTTTCTTGTCTGCTTTCAGAAAAGCTCAGTCAGGATAACCACACTGCTCCAGGGCCTGTCTTGTGTGCAACTTCTCTTTCTCCCTGGCTCCTGTGTTTGTGGGGACACTGTCTGCTCTGTGGTACAGAGTCCTGATGACTCCTAACTTGTGTTCCAGTGGGTGATGGGAATCAAAACGCAAATACCGGTCTGTATGGGTGGGTTTTATCCCATCTTACCTCACCACCTAAATATAAACAACACACAGTTGTTACTCCCTACGCTCTYACGATTTAGTCCTCRTGTTAGTTCCTCCAGTCAGAACGGAWCTAGGAAAAAGAGCGTTCAGCTTTGCTGCCCCTTCAGCCTGGAACAATTTGCAGACAGATTTGAAACTGTCAACACTGATCTCTCCCAGATCCTTCATGTCAACCTTAGAAGAAAATGTTATCAAGAAACTTGACTATTGCAGATGCCTCTAAATTTTACTTATCCAAAATTCATGTCATTGTTGATTTTRTACTGTATCTTATCAACTGATGTCTGTTTGTTTTGCCCAAACTTGTTTTAAGTCAAACAAATATTGTTAAGGCCTAATTTTGAAATCTGTCTTATGTAGATGCTCTTGAAGTATCAACATTTATTCAAAGTGTTTGTATATTTCTTTAATTTCCTTTTGTTTTGATTGTCAATTATTACGTGACATGTGCTGCTGACCTCTTAACCAGGTCACATTTGAAAAAAAGATCTTGATCTCAATGGGCTCTACCTGGTTAAATAAAGGTGATTGATTGATTGATTGATTGATTGATTGATTGATTGATTGATTGATTGATTGATTGA